GATGACTCCACTAGGGTCACGTCTTATCATGAGAGTGATGAGATAAGGGGACAGCCCGAACAAACAAAGATTTGCCCCTTACCTTGTCAATCTGGTTCATTCAACCTCAGGACAATGAGGTCTTTCTCCCCCTTAAGGTATGTGCCCTGGCGCCAGGAGAATCTCCGGCTCAGAAGATACTACAGTTCCCTTTTCTACCTGTTTCCTCCTACATTAGTCAGGTGCCCGCCCCCCCATCCGTCTTCGTTGGTTGAGCATCCAGCACCCACTCTCAGTGGCCAAACTCCCATCATTCTGTCATTTCTCTTGCTAAAGCGCGTCTGACCTTGGCACCTCGGAGGCAGCTCACCGAATGAGCGCTGACTGTGCCCGGCCCTGGGCTAGGTGCATGAGGAGCCCCAGCTCATGTCATCATCACAGCCACTCGAAAAGGCACAGATCATCTTCATGCTTTAGTTAGAAGATTGAGAGCCAAAGAGTTTAGGATCACAGGTGGCCAGAAGCAGCTGAATGTCCAAAGCTGCGCTGTTATGGGCGCTGTAATGACGAGCCCTGCGGCAAATCAAGGAAAGGTGGAGGGCAGCCAGGCGAGGGGGTTTGCAGGGGCGTTTCAGAGCAGAGACCACGCCGTGGCCAGGCCCCTGGCTGCAGACCCAGGCAGCTCTGCGCGGGCTCAGCCGTAGGGCTGGATGCCAGGGCTTCCCGCACGCAGCCGTGATGCCTGACGTATCTGCTTTTCTCTGAATTACTGCATTAGTCATGGGGTTTTGTTGTTGTTGCAAGTGATAGAAACTCAACACAAACTAGGTAAGATCAGAGGGGACTGTCCACAGAACATTTATAAAACTCAGAAGGGCAGCTGGGTCTCAGAGACAACTGAGCCTGAGGCCTGAAAGCAACCAGGTCCCTCTCTTCCCTCTGCACGTCCCCTCCCTTTCTTCAGACCAGCTGTCGGCCACATGGCAGGAACCTGGCCTCCTCCAGCCTATAGCTTTCGCCAGCAGAGAAATAAAACACTTTTTCCAGCCCCAGTTGGCCAAGGAGGGGCTCCAGCGGGCCAGGTCCCAGGCGGGTCAGGTGCCTACCTCGGTCAGGAGACACCCGGCTGGATTCTAGGAGGGAGGGAGGGTCCAAAGGACGGAGGTGACATTTCAGGAGGGAAGGCTGCTGGGTTGATGGCCTGTCAGCTGCTGCCTGCACTCACTGCCTCTTCATCCTCAGATTTTGTTTACTTAAAAACATATTTGTTTCAATTACAGTTTTCACTCAACAGTATTTCATATTAGCTTCAGGTGGACAGATAATCATATGCTTCTCAAAGTGTTTCTGCTAATACTTCCAGTGCCCACCTGCACCACCCATGCCGATTACAGTATCACTGACTATATTCCTGTGCTGTGCTTGACAGGATGCTTTTACCCCTGTACTTCCTCCTCCTCAAAACCTGGACCCTCCTCTACCCCGTGGACCTTGCGTGACGCTTTGAACTCTAGCTGAGGTTCTGCTCCAGAGCAAGCCGTTCCTAGCTCGGCCACGCCACAGCCCCCGGGGTTCCCAGGCACGGCTGCATGCAAGGGCAGCGCCCTCCGTCAGGGGGCCGGGCAGCCACCCCGGCACCATAACTGTGCATGTATTTTCGGATCCTTAAGAACAGTAAGGTAATGTTCCCTAGCACACAGCAGTGAGTGGCTGAGCCGCTGTTCACACTCAACAGCAGAGGCCGGGCTACTTCTCGAAGATCACACTGCTTCTCGTGGTCACCGTACTTTCATGAAAGGCTTCAGGGCATGGGGTTTCCTTCAAAACAGAGCTCATTGCTTTCCACTGGCGTCCCAAGTGACACCTGCAAGACACAGCTCCCAGATAGGAAACTGGGGTTTCTGGTGAGAAAGACTGTACAACCTGCCAGGGTCAGAAAATGGGTTAGGAACAACTCAAACTTGAATATTTGCTTCTGTAGAATAGCTAGTGATAGACTTTCATTTCTAAAGGTAGACTTTTGCTTATTTATTTATTCAGCAAATAATCATGCGTACTTTCTGAGCCCCAGGGACTGGGAGACACAGCACAAGCAATGGTGAAGAAACCATGCAGTTCTCGCTGTTGGCCAGCAGAGGGAGAGAGTGCCAGCCCTGCAGGCGCCGCCCGCACACAGCTGAATTGGGCGGACAGCGACACCAGCTGGGCCAACACAGAGTGCAGGACACAAGAAGTCCCGGTGACCGTCCTTACAGGTGTTCAGAGCTACAATGAGGGAGCCCCCGGGGAGATCTGAGAACAGTCCTGAAGAATAGTCCCGGCAAGGTGAGGAAGCCCTGGATAGAACCAACCTGCTCCACAGACAAGAGTCAAGAGGGTCCAAAAACTGGCCAAGACCTCAAGTGCAAACACAATGGATCCCCTTTGACCACAGCCAAGCCCTGGGCAACCAGAGCTGAATCGTGGGACCTCACCTCCCAGCCCCAACATTCCACCGTCCTCAGTGGGAGGGAGGAAGAGTTCCTCCACGTGACGGCTGTTAGGGTGGAGGAGGCCTACCTGTCAAGGTGGACCTGGGGAGGAAGCGCAGGAGCCACGTGGCCATGGACAGTCCCGCTGGCAGGCTCACCCAGGACCCGCGGTGTCGGGAGCGCCGGCCTCACCATTCAGGCGGGCACACAAGGCTGGCATTGCGTCTCCGCGGGGAACAGAGGCTGCAGGTGCGGCCTGACCAGCAGCTCCCTGCTCCCCTGCAAGCTGAGAAACACTCGAAAGCAACCCGGCGACCAGTCCCGCCCATTCTGCATTACACAGGTGCTAGAGAAGATGTCAAAAGGCTGATTTTGAACAAAACCTCACCTCAAGTGACCCCTTTTGACTATAAACTGGGAGATTTGAGGGAATTCCTAACATCCTCCCTGGTGCATACATTCTGGGTTTCTTTACCTTCATAAACTGAGTTATAAAAATCAGCATTTCCACTTCCTTCGCATAAGCTGTTATTGATCATCTTGCTTTCAAGGCAAAACATAAAAAGAAAATTAAAAAGAACAAACTTGAAAACTCAAAATCCAAATCCAGCGAGGTATCACAATGAGTGAGGTTTGCTGTATAAATGTTTAAGTGTTTAGCCAGGCTATGAAGGAAAGAGGGGATGCAGATGGCGACAAAGGACTGTTGAAAACAGAACCACAGCCGCGCCGAAGGGGTGGGAAGCAAAGGAGCTGAGCCCAGCCACGGGGGCCTGTGGCTGGATTCCCTCAGGCTATGACCTGAAACAACGGAACACAAACACTGTGCTCTAGTTGGGAAATGCATTTCTCCCATGGGTATATATTTCAACTACTTTATGTGTATGGTGGGGTTGAACAAATGTATAAAAAATTATAGGTGAGACCCAGGTTTCTTTGCTGTAGGAGAAAAAAGTTACACGGAGAGTGGGAAGGTTAGCCGGACTGGAGTCAGAGGTCTCAGGCTGGACTCATGCTTCTGTTTTAAGATACAGAAATTAAAAACTGCATGCATGCACACGGGCAAGTAGTGTGTGCATCTGTGTTTCCACATACAGAGGCCTAGAAGCAGTGACACCCCGGCAGCAATGAGCACACCTAGTGCCCTGATCTGCATTTCCAAACACCTTTCTCCAACAAAAGGAGCCAGGGCTCCTCAACCAGTGGTCAGTTTCAGGGCTGAGGCAAAGAAACCATGAGATGAGTGCACCTCGAGTATCTTGTGGTCCCAGAAAATAAGGAAGGGAAAATGGGAGAAAGAGAGGGAAGAGGGGAGTGAGGGAAGAGGAGACTGGAGCCCCCTCGAAGGACGGCACCCACCTGAAAGAGACCCGTCCACGGTAAAAGCCACGTCAGGCGTGATCCACCAATGGCTGGTGTTCTGAGCTGTAGCCCCTAAAATGAACTGTTGAAGCCCTAACTCCAGGTTCCTGTGAATGGGACCTTATTTGGGATTGACATCTTTGCAAATGTAATCAAGTTAAAACGAAGTCAAGCTAGACTAACGGTGGGCCCACATCCACCAACCGTGCCACGAGAGGAGGGGCAGACAGGCGCACCGGGAGTCAGAGGCAGAGACTGAGGGAACAGCTACAAAGTAGGACCACCCAGGACTGCCTGCCACTGCCAGAAGCCAGGAGACAGGCATGGACACACTGTCCCTTGGGGACTTCAGAAGCAGAAATAGACTATTTGCCTAATCCCCAAGTATCTCACCTTAAACGCTGATTAATTACAACATGGAAAATAGTGACTTTACCAAAATGAAACCTGGCGGCTACCACCTTGAGCCAATGATCAAGGTTGACATCAAGAACAATGCATGTCGACATCATGTTCCCCAGATAGGATGCAATGAGCAAGGGACATGGCCTCCATCCCCTTCACAACACAAAACCTTACCCCAGTCAGAACCAGCTGGCCAACTTCAGGTGAAAGACATTTTACACAATAACTGACGGCACACCACCAAGTGTAAAGATCCTGAAGCAGGAAAAAACTGAAGAGACCAACAATGAAATGTAGTGGGGATCCTAGAACAGAAAACCAACGTCAGTGGGACAGTTGGTGAGCTCAGAGTAAGGTCGGGGCTTCCTTAGTAATAATATACTCATGTCAGTTTCTTAGTTTTGATCATTGTTCTATGGTTACATGAGATAACACAAGGGGAAATGGGGTGAAGGGTATACAAGAGCTCTTTGTACTGCTTTCGCAACTCTTCTATGTGTCCAAAATTATCTCCAAACTTAAAAATCACGGTGGGGGTGAGGAATGGTGCTCCCATGGGGGAAGGTTCCAAAGCGGAAGTCAGTCCCGTCAGACCCAAGACACTGGGCGCTGTAACCTGAAGCTCCACAAACTACACCCCCACACTGTGCTCTCAGTACACACGGCGCCAACAATGGGATCACTCAAAAACACACACTGTATGTAACATGTTTATTTTTAACTCTGCTTTGGTAGTACAAAAGTCTTAGTAAAAGTACAAACCAGACAGTTAAAAATACACTTGACACTCAAAAGGGTGAAAAATTCCCTTTATAAATTTTTACATCAAGGTGGTAGCCAACCCATTGATGACACCAGCAGTCAACCCATCATTAGTGTTTTGCACAGTTAGTTTGCTGTGGATCCCCAGTCCTTCTGCTGGAGCAGGGAAAACACAGGGCCTGTAAACATCGGTTGCTTTGGGAACACTTGAGAGTTCTTATTAGATCATAGAAACGAGTAAAAAGCTTATGTGTTGAAAATATTGAATGCTTAACTTTTGGCATATGTGGAAGACAGACAGACAAAAACTGCTCAAGTATTAGAAAATATTTAAAATGCACTGTTGATATAAATACAATTTTAAATATTTCTGAGTATTCTCTCACGTGTTTATTGCTATTTAAAAAGTGCTCTGACCTGAATACAGTTGAAAAATAATTAAAGCTTAAGACTATCTTACATAGCATCCTTCACCATTCTGAGGGTATATTCTTTCAACAATCAAAAAATAATGCTTTTTTAAAAACTAAAACTATTGGTCTAGACCACACATATATTATTTACATTAATTCACATCCCCCAAATTTCTATTTTGCTACTTTTTGGACCTCAGTGAAATTTATGTCCATACTGACTTCCTCTCGCCTACTGTGTTTATGTATGTGTGCCTGTAAAGCCTCCTAATTAGTTGTCAATAAAAATTCACATGAAATTGAACCTTTCGTTTGATGCCAGCAACAGAATGGAATGAGTATATTTACAGTAAATACTTCAAATACATTTTAATGGAAATCATCTTCTGGGAGTGAAATAAAAAGTGCTTTTTCTCTGTGAAATAAAAGAAGCATGAAGCAGGTCTTGGCGAATTTCCTGTAAGTGGACCCTCCCAGCCTTTGGCCCAGACTTCTGAGTTCTTTCAGGTGTTTCATAAACTCCAAGGCTTAAAAAAAAAGTAAGGTTTTCCAAGCCCAAAGGGGGAAAAATCACTAAGACGCTTTGAAACAATGAGCACTGGTTATAAGAACAGCAAGTGCACCAAGGAAGGGGGCCAGAGGAAGGTACAGGCCCAGCTGGCACGAGACCTAGAGATTTGTTTTGTTTGCACTTGGGGTTATCAAAACAATTTGTTTTTTGTTTTTGTGACTTTAAACCATCTTCCCCTTTATTAAATAAATTACTTAGTTTATTGCTTAGCTCAAGTGTAAAAAAAGAAACAAACCTCTCAGTGTTTTACAAGCGACCTAGGAGAGGCGCGTGCTGGTCGCAGAAGTCGATGCGGAATTCCTGGTCTCAGAATCCAGTCTGCCACCTGGCTCCTTCCGATCCATGGCTCCTGGGGGCCATTTTCTCAGGCTAAGCTAGGTTATCTTCAAGGACCTTTCACCACCAAAGAGTCATCTTTATCTCTTGTAACAGTTAAACTGTAAGAGGATCTTCTTACAACCAGTAGTAAAATAGGAGGTAAGGGCTGGGGGAACAGAAGCGTGCGTGAACGTGCACACACACACATGCACAAGTACACATGTGCGCACACACACACTGAGCATCAGCTCATGTACGCGAACAGCTCCGCTGTATGTAGAGATCATACTGGAAAAACTGCGGTGTACACACTAAGGCCAGAGACGGAGGATTGGAAGGGGTGGTGGTTAAAGGTAGTTGGGAAGATAAAAAATGAGCTCTTTTCTTCCCTGGAAATGTAATACATTTTTCACCAGACTTTTTAAACCCAAAACTTGTTTCAAAGCCAACTGAATCTTTATTCAGCATAGCAACAATATTCCCTTTTAGCTTTTTTCATATGCCTGCAGACTCCATGATAGAAATCGTATAAAAGATAAACATTCCTTGGGCAACTTCATATCTTGTAAGTTTTCAGCCTCTTAGAACTCTTCAAAAAAGTCATTCCTGAAAGGGAAACCAAGAAAGGTAAAGCTTTGCATGAAGTAAGCATCATATCACACACTGATCTGCCTGACTATTTAAAAACACAGCGAAATTGTAATCCATCCTCACTCCTTCCCACGGCATTCCTTCCCCCATTACACATTTCTTCTAGAATTTCTTCTGTGCAAAGAAAGTTCAGTACCACAATTTCAAAAGGGCCTCACTATCAAGGTTTTAACTGAAGAGAGAGGAGAATTTCAGAAGCGCAGGGGCTAAGGGTGTCAGTCTGTTCTGACACGCGTTCCACGGCGGGCCTTCGGCCTGAGTCAGGTCACTTCTCAGGACTGTGTTCTTCAACTCCTTGGCCACATTCACCCAGTGTCCACGCTGTCACAGGAGCCCCCGATTTCAGGTAAGGTGTCTTTCCCAAGTCCCACCAAACAGAGTTAACTCCCAGTCTCTCCTGAGCACACAGGGCAGCATGGCTGCGATTTCGCTGGCAGGTAAGAACACATGATGAAGCGCTCAGCTCCAGGTCTTCCCCGAACCTTGAGGGCTCTGTCTTGTATTAAGTTCTTCTAACAACTGGTCCATGTGTGTCTACATTTACATTACAAATGAGGTCCCTTGTAACTGGTAAAACAGTTTTCTATTTTCCAAAGGGTGTGTTTTACAAGTGTCTCTTCTAAGTGACAGACAGTTCTGTGCCTTTTATTTTCCTGCTTTGAAGAGTGGACTAACCCACGACAGGACTAAACTCCAGAGCTACCTGCGTAGGGTGAGACATAAACGCCATGCAGGCCCACCTACACCGGGTTCAGACACAAACACTCTCTTGCTGTCAAAAATGGGTTTGCCTATAAAGGTTAAAAACAGAGATGAAACCAACTTGCAAAAATATAGAGAAGACACAAAAAGTTGATAGAGATCTCAACTTATTTTACTTATTTTCTAACTCACCCTTCAAAATATAGTCTATTGTTATCCATATTATCCTTTCCTGCCACTCTGTAATTTATAACATAGTGGTTGTGTGTGTGAGAGAGACACACCTAGACTTTTTTGCATCAAGGAAAACAAGGTCAAGGGTGAGGGATGTCAGGCCTAGAATGTAATGTTTAATCACAGTAAGAGTTTTCATTCCAAAGTGGAGGAACTTCCCATTTCAAGTTCTTTGCACAGATTTGACCAACTTTATTTATTTATGTACTTATTTATTTATTTTAATCCTCATCTGAGGACATTTTTCCACTTTTTGTTCAGATAGAGTAGGAGGGAGAGAGAGGAAGAAAGAGAGAAACATCGACATGAAAGGGACACATCAAGTGGCTGCCTCTCGCACGACCCAACTGGGGCTGGGGACAAACTGCAACCGAGGTACGTGCCCTTAGCGGGAACCGAACCTGGGTCTCTCTGGACCACGGGTCGACGCTCTAACCACTGAGCCAAACTGGCCAGGGAAGATTTGACCAACTTTAAAGAGTGGGCGAACAAGACAGAGGGTGGGGCTAGGAATGAGGGGTCCAAAGCCAGACCCATGACTAGCTGTCGAACTGGAGCACCCCCCGTAGGGTAGTGGGGTTTGACACAGATGATACATGTGTAAGGCTTGGCACACAGCCAAGCAGTCGGAACACATGCCCAAAGGCTAGCTCTCAGGATCACTGCCATCATCACGGAGGCTTGCTTCAGCAGTGGCTTTCTGTGGAAGATTAAAACTGCACCGTGCACAATCTCTTTGAGAGGACATGAAAAATACAAATTGCTGCTCAAAGTCCTCACTACTAATAGCAGAAACTAAGCAAAAAGATGAGGGTGCAGTTAACCTTTCGAAAGCTCCACGGAAAGCTGCTCAGCACTGACTGGCAGGCCCGGGCTCGCTCCACGAGCGCTCTCCACGGGCAGCTTCTCACAGCGCCTCTCGGCTGCCAGGTAGGCCGTCTCCTCAGAATGACAATCCAGGGGAGAGAGGCCACGTGCTCTGTGGCCTGTACATTTCCAAATGTGGCCTCATTTCTGGGCCTGTGTCACGTGCACATTCACATTACAGTTGTGAATATATCCATATTGATAAACAAACACAGACTTTAAAATAGCATTTGTTTGCCCCTGCACATGACTGTTCCAGGGTGCCTGGGCTGGCATACATGCTAGGAAGGCCAGCAGCAGTGGACGGAAGGGGGTAAACCATGCCACCCACCCATTATTCTCTCTTCCCCTCACCAGGGACTCCACCAATTTAACAAGCCCGACCTCTCTCTCTTTTGGGCAAATCTGGTGATTACAGTCTTGTATGAGTGAGTGCTCAAGCTGCAAGAAATTCAGCAACACTTTTCTTATATTGAAAAGACAATGTATACATCCCAAGTATAACCACATCCCCCATAAAGACTGATGGACAGAAATGTAGATCCTCAAAAAAATTGATGTGGGAAGAATAAAAAAGTCATTTTTTTCTTTAAGGTTGATAGCTTACTACACAGTTCTAATTATAAAGATAAAGCCATGGTTCTATTATTAGGTTATGGTTCCACCAAAGCCACATACACAGTGGTTGCCCCTTATCCATGGAGGATACATGCTGAGACCCTCCATGGATGCCTGAAACCACGGATAGAACCAAACTCCATACAGTGTACATACACTATGTTTTTCCCTATACATACATACTGTGATAAAGTGTAATTTAGAAATTAGGCAGAGTAAGAGAAATAAGGGTTCCCTGAACCCAGGCACTGCGATACCGAGACAGTCCATCTGATAACCGAGATGACTCTGGAGCGACTGCCAGGCAGGGAGTGGATGGAAGCTGGACAGAGGGATGATTCACATCCGGGCAGAACAGAGCGGGATGGCACGAGATTTCATCATGTTACTGCGGAAGACTCTCACTTTAAAACTTATGAATTATTTATTTCTGGAATTTTCCATTTAATATTTTTGGACCATGGTTGATAGGGGGTTAACAAATCATCAAAAAGTAAAATTTCAGCCCTGGCCGGTTTGGCTCAGCGGTCAGAGCGTCAGCCTGCAGTCCTGAGAGACCCGGGTTCGGTTCCCGCTAAGGGCACGTCCCTCGGTTGTAGTTTGTCCTCGGCCCTGGTTGGTTGTGCGGGTGGCAGCCACTCGATGTGTCCCTTTCACATTGATGCTTCTCTCTCTCTCTCTCTCTCTCCCACTCTATCTGAACAAAAAATGGAAAAATGTCCTCGGGTGAGGATAAAAAAAAAAAAAAGTAAAACTTCAGATAAGGGAGGCTAGGGGAACTACTGCTTCTTTATTTTTTTTTAATCCTCACCAGAGGATATTTTTCCATTGATTTTTAGAGAGACAGGAAGGAAGGAAGGAAGGAAGGAAGGAAGGAAGGAAGGAAGGAAGGAAGGAAGGAAGGAAGGAAGGAAGGAAGGAAGGAAGGAAGGGAGAGAGAGACATCTGTGTGAGAAAGACACATCGAGTGGTTGCCTCCCACACAACCCTGATCAGGGACAGGATCAAACGTGCCCTTGACTGAAATCGAACCCTCGATTGTTCATCCACTGGCCAATGCTGTAACTGCTGAGCCAAACCAGCCAGGGTTATATCTTTTTAATTAAGATATATATGTCCCTTGTTAAAAAGGATTCTCTAGAAAAAGGATCTGGTCCCTTTAAAAATGACAAACATGTTTTAAAACTCTAGAAACTCGCGAAGGCCAAGGAATCGAGGAAGGAAAAGACTCCGGTTATTAGCAAGAGCACGCTCTCTATCTGCAGGCGGGGCGGTGCTGAGCACCCGAGACTCAGGACTCAGTCTGTCCAATTCCACAAGTGACAGCTGCCATTTTCACAGGGAACCCAGGCTCACAGGTTCGGTAACATGCCCAAGGCCACACAACAATGATGTTAAAGTCACCCCACACTGCACTGCCACACCTGTCCCACTGAGACACCCATGGCATCACTGAGATCGGCTGCTTCCCTCACTTCTCTGCTCCCCACCTGTGTGGCAGCAACAGAAAGGAAATGAAGAAACTAGAAACAGGCAGGGCCACTCCCTGTAAGTGACTGTGGCTACACAGCAACGGTTCAAAGACGCTAAAAACCTGTACCCTAAAAGGGACACGGATCAGAGTGCACTTATATGACAGTGAATACATACAAGCCTACAGAATCACACAGCTGTCTTAAGAATTTTCTACAACACTTTTAAATAAAATAAATGGGGAAGTTATTTATAGAAACAGTTAAAATTGCAACTGTAATATCCACATTCAAGTCCTATAGCTATAAGTATGGGATCTTTCCCCGGTAACCTGTAACCCTTCAAGATCAAACTCCTTAGTACCAGGCTCCACTCCACTCTGGTTACATGCTGGCTGTTTCTAGTGGAAAGCATGTAACCATGTGACAACATGATATTGCAACAGTACTGCCTGCATAGATTGGCACCTTGCCAGGTGTGGATTAACAGGAAGATACCAGAAGGTATTTAGTGTCTGCAGTCCCTTAAATCTTGCTCTGGTCTGTATTTTGTGGCAAATTTTATAAATTAATATTAGTATCTTTGTACTTTAATAAAGGCTCCATGTGTATTTAGAAAGCACAACAGATTCATGCTTATCTAGGCTAATCTGTGCAGTCTCTTTAAATCAGCATTCTAAGAATGAACGGGAACACATGCTTTAGAACTGGCTCAAATACTGAAGCCCAGTTTCGCTCAGTGGTTAGAGCACTGGCCCATGGACCGAAGGGTTGCGGGTTCGATCCTCTGTCCCGGTTGGGGTCATTCGGAAGGCAACAAATCAATGTGTCTCTCTCTCTCCCTCCCTCCACTCTCTCTAAAAGTCAATGGAAAAATATCCTTGGGTGAGGATTAGTAACAACAAAGTATTAAAAACTGCAGATCCTGCAGGCTGCTCCCACAACCTACTAAGTCGGAATCTGTGGGACTGGAGTTCTAGGCCTGCTTTCTTACAAGGTGCCCTGTTGATTAATACACAAATAAGGGGTTTAGTCAAATGGGAAACACTGAACTAATGTTTG